ATGGCAAAGAATCAGAGTTTTCGTACTGCTTCTATTTATGCCTATTTAAACGCACGAAAATTCACGAGAAAATCTGGCTTATTGAAGCTACCGGGGCATGTATAAAAAAACTTTTTCGATTCTTTGACCGAAAATCCGAGTTGTAAATTCAGCCGGAAAATTGGGAAAAATTCACCAGCACGGAATTTTACAACGCCTTCCCATACGATTAAGTTTGGAAAGTATTGGGTCATGGAAGAGGAAACATCAAGAACGTGTAGAAAAATGAGAAGAAAATGGTAAAGCAATAGACATTGCATCCACAGAAACTCGGGAGAGGCTTCCGTCGACAAATGTGCATGGAGATTAACCGAATCCAAGCGAAATCTCGAAAAAATCAATGGAAACAGATGGAAAGTATGAAAAGAGTTAAAGGATGTTAAAATCGTGGGGAAGGGGTAAAACATTTATAAAGAAACCGTGAGAATCAATTGAAGACAAGCCAGATTATAAATTTGCGAAAGAAAGTGAAAATATAAGAGAAAATATTATGTTTGAATGAATAATATAACAAATCCTGAAGGTAAATACGTGAGAAATAGAAGAATAGAAAAAAGACGAGAACGTGTCAATCCACCAATTGCTCACGTGGCAAATGAGTAACGCGCGACTGCGATTCGTTGAATTGACAATTATTGTAATTGACGTGACCCGTTTTCGAGCGAGTGATCGATGAACGTCCCTTGTTATTATTACTGTTTACCAATTAGTCGTCGTGAAATTATAATTGGTAATTGCACACACCTCCGGACTGCGATAGCCACCGATGGCATTCATTTGTCCGCGAAACCAACCTGCCGGCGAGCACGCGTCGTTAATTTTAAATTGCGCTCGCCGAAAATGATCCTTCGCGGAAATTGAATTTCATTTGGCAACGCGTAAATTGTGGCAGTTTTCTAATAGCTACTCCCTGAGTTCACCAGTGGAATAGAAACACAATATATTATTTGATTTAATAATCACCGGAATAGATTTATAAAAAAGCTGATTTAAAATTCGAAGCTTAAGCTACGCGTTCCATTTATGTTCTTCGCATTGTCCACGGAATAAATCAACTTTTCAGCGGTGCATCGATGACGTGCATAATACATATGCATACATTCGCGATTCGAATTTCCAGAGCGCAGTACCTTCCCGATCATCGAACTTTCCTACTTCCTGCGCGCCGTTCTTTCTCCGTTTATTTAAAAGTCCTGAATACTCGTCGTTCTTGTACGGAAAGGCACGAGGGAAAAGAATAAAAACCGAACAACCGTTCGTACATTTTAACATTCGTGACAGCGGACTACGTGAGCGAATATTGAGGAGGATTAATCGAATCCGCATGGCGGGATTTTTCCGTTTGATGTGACGCGGACAGATCCAAAACCTAAGCTCCCGTGAAACGATGTACAAAGTATTTTTAATCCTCTCCGCTAGGCTTTGTTTCTCTTTGTTTTTATTTAAAAACCGTACCAATAAAAATGCCTCGATGATTTTATTCAGAATGAAATATATTTATTCGTAACTGTAATTCTGTTTAACACTAAGTTTACCGATATTTTTATATACCCATCTCTACCGACAAGAATTAATTTCATCCATGAACAAAATCACACATTTTCTTGAGAAAACAACTTTAAAAACGACATAATTATATACAGTGATTTTATAAATGAAACTATGAGATGTATGGGTAAAAGTCAATACAAGTCGCAGAAAAAAAATATAAACAATTTCTGAAATGTCCCTCGCGAAGTTCGGAATGGGTCAAAATGATCTGTTCGGTAACATAGTGTTAACCCTTTGTACTTGGAAGTTTTTAACTAGAAATATTTTAACATTTTCTAATGAGATAAAGACGATATTTTGTGAAATTAACTCGACGAGAAGTCACACATACATTGAGGAACATACGAAGTATAATATCAAATATCAAATTTTATAGTTGTACTGTATGAAATCAAGTGGTGAGTCAGCTTTCGAGTGCAAAGGGTTAATTACGATCCGACAGCCACCTGCGTATATACTTACTACTTTTACTTCGTGTAAAGTCAAAATAACTGAAAGTAAACTTACCTCCAACAATTTTATAGATTCGTTTTAATTCGAGGGAAATTCGAGGGCGTCTCTATTTTATCCACTTATTACGTTATCAATGACGCCGACGGCTGTATTACCGCGATCAATTTAAACGAACGGCTTCCGTTTCTGGTACATGTTACAAAGTTTCTTGGCTGACGTTGATACCATCATAGAAAGGAAAAAGGGGCGGAGTATCTTATCCTCTCTCGCGTTATTAAAACATCAGTATGTACTTACCTGCGACGGAATATCTACTAACCATTCATTTTTCACAATCAAAAAGAAGCCCTTATAATAATCAACATTTCCATTACAATTATCTCTTAGAAAACATCCCCTATGGCATCCGATAGTCGCAATGCTCGTATAGAACTGCAACTCTCCGATATCATTATTTCCACATCAAATGTAACCTTCCTCAAAGAATGTCCTTTCGGAACACACAATGATCATACACTAATTGTTAAAATAATACACCGTATACGTTCAATCTACTATCCAAATTTCGTAATATTACAACCGTATGAATTATCCTAATTAATTTAATATTATTTCGTACTCCAATGTACACACGCTCCTAACAAGCGCGTCCGTCGAAACGCAAACTCCAGAGACGACAAAACGCTTGGGAACCGTACGATCATAATAAAACGTAATGATCCGGTTGTGTATAAATTTCGCGGGGCAAACAGAAGGATGAACGAATAACGGGACAAACTCGGGTTTATATCAGACGCAAACACCGCGAACAATTTAATCTGGGATTAAAGCGAAGTCAGACATCCGGAAATTAATCCGGCCGGCACCGCGTTGGAATTGAAACAATGCGTGCTCGCGCAACGGGGGAGGACGTGTAGTTCCGGCGTGTTACAGAAATCTTCAGTATCGATCATACCGGTATCACCGTGGCGGGCTTTCGAGCCCGTATGGTGGCACAAAGGCACGCGGATCAGTAAGGAATGTGTCAAAAGCTTGGCGCACGGTTAAGCGGTTTCTCTGGCTCCGTGAAATGCGCATGATAGATAGCCCGTTACGTCCACGAATTGAATAGCAAATTAAATTCTGCTTGCTTCACAAATTTACCTATCCGCGGTTTATCTGCGCCGGGCACTTGGTCCCCGTAGAATTTCGGTTTCACCGGAGAACTTTTCCGCTCGCGTGAAACGACTATCAAACTTCCTGTGAGGGTATCGCCGGTGACAGTTTCATACGTGATATTCGTTCGAGTATATAGACGTGAGAAGATGTTACTTACAGGATGATCGAAGGTAAATCGCAAATGTATAATCGGAAGTGAGGATTGTGGAAACTAGCAATTGGAGTGACTAATTTCTAAATCTTTGTAAAAATTAGAATATGTTTCTCGAGATATGAGTCCTTATTGTTGTATCTGTATAGATACTTAAATTTATTTTACAATTTTTCGCAAATGCCATGATTTAAACACTTGCAAAGTAAACGTTCTGAGATGGAACAATGTGACCCGTCTGTTTTAGTGTTAAAGGCTGCTATTATGTGACTAATCTAATAAAGGTAATTTAAAGAAAACTTAGGTTACTTGGAAAGGTTAGTTTAATAAAAATTTCGTGAATCTTAGTAAAATGTAGACTACTTATTGATACTAACTATGTAGTACAATCGAGAAGAAAAATACGTCTAGATTCCAAAGTTGGAGTTACCTTTGATGACTGCTAGAAAGTGCAATCTAAAAGTAGCGCCTGATATTCTTGACTCCACGAGAACTAGTGTCGAATTTCGATAAAAATTTCGCAGGACAAAACCTTTGCATACAACGTTGAACGTATATTTCGTGGAACAACAATGAACCGCTGAATGTAAACGAACCTGATATCAATTACTGTCCATTAATTACGGGGCTGTATAAACGCTTAAATTATATAGTCCCGCGTAAGCCACAGGTTAACCGGAACAATTGCGTCTGGGCATCGCGCAGATTCTGGCGTACTAAGTTTCCGTATCATCCAGCGTCAGATAACGATAACGCAAACTCTATTAAGGAAGATCCGATAAGCCAGAAGCCGCACCGGTAGAATTCGGATGCATAAAAGCGAAACTGAGAAACTGGGTGAAGGTGTTCACCGTAACGCGGCTTATATTCGTTATCGGGTAGCAATTGTTGCTCCCCTTGGCGGTGTAATAAAATTATCGGCTTGAATCCACCGCAAAATGTGCATTGTATTGACGCGTGCGGCCCCTTAGTCGAGCGTGATAACAGTGACCCTAAATACTATTGGATTACCGCATGCAATATTTCGTTGCATGCTCGACACGCAATGGGCACTTTTCTCGCGCTAACTCGCAGAAAATTGGGTGTTACGAATCGCATTATGTTTTCTATTTCTAAAAGAAATGTTGTTCTTTTAAACAGCATTGATTTTTTTATTATACGAGTCGCTCAGAAGCCAATGGGGTTAGGTCGATTCTTTGATATTTTCTGGTTTTCGTCAATTTTAATGGAATAAATAATATTCTTCCGAGTTATTCAAGGATTCACTCGTTTCTTCGTCTTTTATAGCTCACATATCCCTTCTTTTTATGGCTACTGAAGAGATTCCATCTAAAAATAGCTTAAGAAACATGTATTTTCTCAATCTTTTTCTTCTTGGCTTAACCACATTGGCTTCTCGACTCATATGCTGGTTATCGATCACTAGAGGAAACATTCTAAAATACTTCTTACTTTTCATTCTGTATTCCTATGTTTCTGGATAATTTCATGTTTCTACATTTCTATACTACACTACTTAAACCTACATTCCTACATTTCGTTCCATAGGATTACTGTTTTATCCTACATCAAGGAGCACTCTAGGAACATAATAAAACGTCGGAATAACAGTTGGCGAAATGATTTTATTAGAAAAAGATACGACAAGTAGAAAAGTCATGGAGCACCACGAGATTCAGTTTTTTATTGCCCGGGTAGCCCGGGACGCGGGGCGATCTTCACATAAGTCGCTTTACGTGATCCGTTTTCTTCTTTGAACTCTTGATGAAACCGAGGAACTCCAGCTCGGCGACCGCTTGAGTAAAACGGGCTCTAAATCTCCGTTAAGGATACGTTGGACGCGCGATAAAATTCACACGGGAACACGTGTGAATTATTCAAACAAGAGGTATGCAGTTCGAGCAAGTTATCTCCATCGTTGGCTACGATTTCGCCGTTACAAGCTACGATATGAATTCTAAACGGGCCTGCGCCGGTTAGACAAATCTTTATGCGCCCCATTACCGATGGCGCATTTGACCGCGCGGAAATGAAATGAAAAAGGATACTGCAGTTTCGGGTCCACGTCCCGTTGCTCCTTCGCTCCGCTCTTCGGGTCCACGATGATCAAAAATGCCTGCAAACGACCGTTCGATTCGTTTACCGTTATCAGCTCCCTCCTTCTTTGACTTTTACCGACGTTTTTTTTTCGAAATTACTTTACGATTACGTCCACCCGTAGGTTCAACTTTTCGATTCAATTTCCTCCGCCCCGGCGGCGGAGAATCAAGACGATAGCATTCAATTGAATGTAAAACGAGACGTGAAGCGAAGCTAAAGTATGAAAACGTAAGAAAACGAGGAGATTTTAGGAACTCGACAAACTTGAAATCTTGTAGATCAGTGTTTCTCGAATGCAATTCGGTAAATGGAAACATGTGATCCGTAGCGGAACATAAACGTATAACAGAAATTTTAGAGATTCTATAGAAAATTCTCTCAAATACTATTATACACGAATTAGGTAAGAGGTTTGCAACTAGCACCAGATATACTATGTCAGTTTGTACTGAATCAGATCCTGCATATACAGATGAAATGACCAGAACAACGCTCCTGAAGTTGCGACGAACTAGAACGCTCCGAATTTTCTTCGGTCAGCGGCTCGTCGTGTTTGCGAGCCCCTAATAACCGCGCAGATTAAACAGTACACGCCCCAAAAACCGCGAGCCCCGGTTCGCAATGTCGTGCTCGCGTGAATCACTCGCCGCTCTGATTAAAATCAGGAGGCGAACGAGCTGGCAGGTGCGTGACCGTAAGTATAACCCGAATTAACCTGTAAACAGGGCTACGAGCGGATTGTTACCTGCAGCCAGTCGTACATATTGATCAGCTTCCTAGATTCCAAGTGCAGTTTGTAAATTATACTGAGGTCTGGCAGGGTGGACGAGATGGCGTCGTCGTTCTCCAATTTGCAGCATTTGCACTGAAATATGTATTTCCAATTAACTCGGACTTGCCGGTGCCGCGGCATCGTTTTCCATTTGCCCGTAATCGATATCCATCGCGGCTGCTGATAGCGGATCAACAGGGAGGGAAGAGTTAGCAGTGAAAGGCCCCGTGGCGGGGAATTAGATATTCTTCACGAAGACGCCGCTTGATGGGAGAAGGATTCCGGGGTTAATTACATTTTATAATCGTAGAAACTTTCACGCTTCGGAACAGTAACCGTTCAAATTCCTTCATGGACGCTGGTGAAAGTATCGATTAATTCAGAACTTCGAAACGTCTTTCGAGTAAAGACTGCTGGATGTAGCAGCTTTCCAATGCTTTTGATATGTACGTTTTTCTTCCATTGCAGATATGTCTGCTGAATGATTTGTCTCTCGCGAGGTGGGTGGAATTTATTTTGGAATCTTGAGACAAGATAGCAAAGCTGTATACTAATAGATTTAGAATCTATGATGCTACCCCCATTTAGATGTTTCTTCAATAAAGCAGCACATAGCGGATAGAAGAAGAAAATAGCAAACAAATACCTCTCTAATAATAGCTATTATAGGTTATTAATGAAATTACTGCGTAAGCTTAATCGAATTTGAGGAGTATGTAAGAAAGTTGTTAGTATTGATATCTGAATTTTTAAATGAAATGGAAGCCGACGATGAATGAAATTTTCATCAAGGATTACAGTCTTTGCTAAAAACCTTCTGCTAGCTTGATATTCTTCACTTACATTCAAATAGACCTGAGGATCGTTCAATCCAGTATGTATCGCGGCTCTCAACGATCCCTTGATGTGTTGCTTCGCCACATTGCCATCATTGAAGCAAAATATTTCGTGCGCCGCAATCTGATGCGGATTGATCAAGAATGCGCAGAAGGTCTCGTCGAGGAAATTAATCACATCCAATTGAGCCTGCTTATAAGGTGAGCGAGAATGCGTTTGGGACATTTTTAACAGTCTCTAAAACGAAAAAAAATATCAGCGCCTTCGATTTTCTCTTCGACCAGTCCAAAATTCTTTTCAGATCTCACTTCAGACCTCCTTCAACTGTTGCCGATTGAGCTTCTTGTCAGTAGAAAGAATATCCGTGGTCGTAGCTTCTACATCTAAGCTAGCTGCCTCAACTGTTGCGATATGTGCTTGGAGATCTGCTTTCACCTTCGTCAAAGCTGTATTGTCCGATTGTTCCATAATCACAAGAAGAGAGTTTAACTTAGGGATCAACTCTGTCTTCGATAGAAAGCCCAACAGTTGCAGACACTCTTTATACTCCTGACACTCCTTCAGATCATTCGTGTAAACTACCTTCGTGTAAAACTCTCGTAACTGAAATGAATTTTCTCTTTATGGATATTTATCTTCGTGACTTCTTTCCTCATTTTTGTCTTGATCAGTACCTGTTTACCCATTGGAGAGTTTGGTAATGGCGACATCAAGTGGTGCATACATCTTAACATTATTACAAAACGGTGCATGTACCGGTGGAATTTGTGCAGAAGTTGCGTTAATATTTCCTAGAATAAATTTTGGTTCTGAAGAACATTAGGTGAATCGGTAATCTTGTGGATGGCAGTTGAGGTACCTTAAAATCGTCATTTTCTATCGTTTCTTCGTTCGTTTCTTTCTGCAGTTTTCTAATGTACCAGTTTATCGAAGGAACTTTTTTAAGGTCTTCTATATTATCGTCGGTTAAGGATGAAATTCTACTTTTGATTTTTTTTGGTTGACAACAGAGAGAATGAATGTCGTTGGCATAAAAATGTTGAATCATGCATATCTAGAAGTTCAACGGTCAGTTGAGGGAGAAGTCAGTTTAAAGATACTGTTATGGATCCTCAATCAGTAATTATATACTAATGGTAGTGATGATAAATACCCTGTAATTATGTAGAAAATTTTCGACTGAAAAATCATAAAACAGAAATATATCTGTTAATAACTGAAACGCCCGACCAGTTAGTTTAAATGGTATGTTTGTGCAGAAAACAATGTGCTCTAAGACATCTGATAAAATGTTTATTTGTGTTGGTGAATGAAAAACCTATGTAAAAAAAAATATGATTGCAAAATAGGCAATTAGGAATTATTGGTATGATTAATAATTAACTTGATAAAGTTATTACTTGCACATTTAATTTGGAAGTAACATCATACGACAATGTTCTGTGAATAGCATGCAAAGTGGTAGCAATGCCAAATACTAGAATGAACTTCATTGTGCTTGCATAAGAACTAAAAAGTTAAAAAATTAATAAGAATAAAGGATTTAAATAAATTCTGATAACTACAGTACCTAAGAATTAAAATAAAGTCACGTAATACTGCTGGAGAAGAACTTTCAAAGTCAGTTATAATTATAACTAGAGGTTCATTTGGTTCACAGTGTTCTGTGTACCAATATTTTAAGGCACGCATTGTGCAATGACTTTTCTTTATCTTTGGCTCCTCATTCTATAAATAATTATATGATAAATATCATTTATCCCTCTGATAGTCTTAGAATATTTATAGTTATAAAAAGACTAACTGTTTCTTTAGAATTTATCAGTTGATAAATTGTTTCCTCCACAATGTGCTTTATACTATTCGAATCTCTATTCCATATAAGTGCTATGTGTCTTGTTACTGGTTTCAGAGTAGAAATTACTTGTGTAAACATTATCGCATGGTCAGGAACATTAACTCCTGTAATATAATTACTTTGATAGTATGTATCCGATAAGACTTGCTAAAAGCTATAATCACCTGTTAATACAATAGCTGTCTGAATTTCATTATTCAAGCACTCTAATGATTTTTCCTTAACTTTGGAAACGAAAGACTTTAAATCAATAAGAATTTGTTGAAACATAGTAGACCTTATTGACTGGAATTTCAAGAAAACTTACAGGTATGACAAATCATGATATTAAACATACTTATTTATACATAATCTATAAAATAATACCTCTGTAGCTTTCTCAATGCTCGCCCAATTTTCTTTATATGTGAGATACCAAGGTGCATTACAATAATCTGGTGGTTGGAACTTTGTACTTTTATTACCAATTTTATATCTACCATTGTGTGCGAAAACACCCTACAACATATAATTAAGCTATACTTCTACGGTTAAACATTCAGAAACTAACTATTGCAATTTAAGACATCAATATAAAGTACTATTTGGATATTGTAACATCAGTCTTTATACTCTAATAAGAAATCTACCTAAACAACACTAAAAAACGAAACAAATTATATTTAACAAACTCTAAACTCTATAAAATTCATTAAAATTTCATTATAAAATCAGTTTGTATAAAAGCCGGCTTCGACAGACTCCAAATACATATTTATATTTAGAGGTTATGTAAGTATAAGCAACAGGCTGTACAGTACCTTTGACACTGAAACATTGTCCATCTTGGTCAAAACAAACTGACACAAGTTAAATACCGTAACAGAACATCAAATAACTGTACAAACCCAACAAAACCACTTAACAATTACACAAATAAATAAGAAACAAAAAGAATCACAACACACGTCGCGTCGTACTCGCAACTGTCGCGCGCGGTTAGTTCCAGACACGCTCCTAGGTACCGCCACCCGTCAATACAACGAAACTGTATCATTTACTTAAAACTTTCAACCCCCTTAAATACTTTATTAACACGTTGGCTGCCACAAGAATTTCTAGCGTTTTGAATAGTAATATTTATTCTTTAATAACAAAGGCAAATGATATTGAAAATAATTATTAATAATTTAGTATCACAGCAGTCATATTACCTTATAATCTAGTTACTTATGTTTTTAGTTACTTATTTTTATTTAACATCAAGTTTTTTATTGTAATTGTTCAGCAATTTGGAAGTTCCGGTTATCGATGATCATCATGGCAGTCCACATGTTAACATATTAACCTAAACGATCAAAAATTCAAAAAATTTTACATCTAAACTATATCCGACACATCCAACGCGAATTATACAACAAAAAGATGATAAAATAGCTCATCGATCATCAACAAGTTACAAAATACAATTCACAGAATACGCCAAATAAATATATCAATTACAAAGTTTCACAGAAGCAAGAACCGAGAAAGATCATTCCTATAACTTCCAGTAGCCCGTCCAATCGCGTGGCAAGTCCGACAAACAAATATTTCTTCTAAAAGATCATGCCAGGCGAATTGGATTCCCCCGGATAACGGGTAAAGAGGCACAATTTTGCATTCAGTCAGCGGTATAAAGGACAATCCGAAGTGACGACCTAAATTTTCCGAATCAGGAGCCAGCCGGGCGGTCATGTCATGCGGATTTCGCGAGCGTAAGCTGCCGCGATCATTTGAATCGCAAATGCGCCGATTGAATTCGTCGAGGCCGAGCAAACAATCCGGAAACCGAGAGTTTGATGCCGTGCTTCCTCGTCGAAGCGAGGACGGGGCACGGTGGCCGTCGAACTTTCGTCGAACTGCTCGGCGCAGCGGGGTTGCAGGGGGCGAGCCGTGCTACTTGCCCGCAGAACTTGCCTGCCCGGAACTCGTAATTGATTTAAAGAAGTGTCCAAACAAGATGCCGCGTTTCGTGCCTCGCAATGTACCGGAATACACTCCGCCGATAGTGTGCGAGCGTGTAAACGACCGTGCAACGAGCGCCGATGCCGAGATTATTCTGAACTCGCTGGTCACGCTTCCGCATTTCTATCAGGTCCTCCCTGGGAACTCTCTTCGTTTTCGATTGGGAAAAAAAGGAAATTCTCTTTCTAAACTCCACTGATAAAAGAAACCAACCAGAGGAACCGGAACCGTCTTCGTTGGTTGGGGTTGTTTGAAATCGATTCCGTCTGCGGGTGTACTTAATTTCGGTCCATTTTACCGAAGGTTCGCAACTTGGACACCAACGTTTCTTGATAGGAGAATCACCGAACGGTCTAGATCAGAACTGGCCAACCTTTGCATACCATACGCCAATTTTCTTCACAGACAAGTTCAGATGCGCCATACAACTCAAGCGCCTCATCGACGTTCTTACGTTCACGGTTGTGGTAGAAAAATAGGGATAGCAGCAGGATCTGTCTCGTTTAGAGGAGGAAAAGGAATAACTCAATCTCGAAGTTAAATGAATTAATTTACGTGAGTTCAAAAGGCACACATTTATCGAAGCACTTAAAAAGAAGAGAAGAATAAGTAGGTACAAGGGTGCAATGCGCCACTTGTAATCATCCAATGTGCCACGTTTGGCGCATGCAACACAGTTTGGCCACCTCTGGTCTAGATGATCAGTTTCAAATTACTGAAGTTGATTATTGAGGTTACAAGTTTTACCTACCTCTTTGAAGGTTATTTGTACAGTGGAAAAGTTATGGGACACCGCGAAGAACACGCCTTACAGCTTTGACACTTCGGAAGCCAAAGAACAACGTTACTCGAATTACATTCGCTTTCCATTAATACTTTCGAAGTAGAATTGCCTGAAGTTGTAGGCGGACAGAGTGGATCAAGGATGATGATACTTGTTAAAAATCAACAGAGGCTCTTTGAAGTTCTGTCTCGATACCGTGCTGACGACTTAATCCTCCATGCTGCCGCAGAAACCCAAGTGCTTTTGACGTTTCACCGTGTGGTATTAAAGAAGAAAGAATCGATAGCTTGTTTCTACGTCAATGATAATCCGCGGACACGTATTTTCTTTGGTAGTCAATGCACGGCAAGTCTACTTTCAGCGACGAGGCTGGACGGCCGGGGCTATGGAAGTTTTCGGTCGGGGAATATAAATCGATTGCGCAAGCAGCTTTGTACGAATGTTCTCGTTTTGTGGTCGGCCATCACACCTGTGCCCCAAGGGGTTCCAGGGCGAAAATAAATGGGATTCGATCGAGGACTTAATCATCCACCTTCGTTGAAAGCGACATTTGGGACAAAACGATGCAGAGATCAACGAAGCTATTGATCGCTGAATGGAATGTGTCCGTATGTGTGTGTTTTTTTTTAAATCGTTCCGGCCACTCATCGTTCTCGATGATTAATACGCGAATCTATATTAATAACGCGCTCCGTACGGGATTTTAACACGTTCGGGAATTCGTTAAATTTATTCGAGATTCTTCAGGTTTTATTCTATCAGGAGAACTAATCTAGAGAACTTAAAGGTGTTATTAACGTTCGAAAGATAATCCCAATGATTTTCTACGTAAACAGAATAATGTAAACTTTTTCCACATAAACAAAATAGTGTAAATAACAAATTAGTATGGAGTAAAAATAAAAATTAATCTGCGGAGAGGGTTTTCGAAGGTTAATAGATTGTTTCAAAAAGTAATCAACTTCACGCGAAAACTCGATATCAACCGTTAAATAAATCGGTACAAATATCCATTCGTCGAGTTAAACAATAGAGTTGAAACGTTCAGTGCCCCTTCAGAATAATTCTGCGGCAGCTCGAACATGCACCTGCAAGATGTCTCGTGAATCACGAGTGGCGTTTGCATACGACGACTCCCGGAAGATCGATCTTTTCGTCCTAACGGGATCATTCCTAGATATGTCCTGGGTCTCGTAAAAGACGATTCCCAGCGTAAGAAACTCCCCGTTGAACGCAAAACCGTTCGACGACTCGAGAGGATCACACGTTTTCCGCTGATACGACGTAAAACGTTATGCCGGGTCGCCATCAAACGGAAAGAAACATGGCGGTCGTCCAGCCCGAAGCTTGTCGGAGCTGTTGTCGTCTCCACGGCGGATCATCTTCGCAGCGAACGGTTAAAGAAAATCATTTCCACGGGAAAGATGGTACTTTTATCGCGGCCAAACGAGAGACTCTTGTCCGTGGCGTCTCTTTGAACCACGAATGGTCGTGGACGGTGCAGTTTACGATACAGAACCCAATTCCTGGCGTTCGTAATGAGCGCTATTGTTGTCCGAGTCCCATCGTACCACGAATTGAACCTGCCTCCTCCGCTAGGATGCAGAACGATATCTTCCAGCAACCTCGAAACCTGGGAAAACCTTGGGATTACGAGGACATTCTACTCGGTAACGAGATAATAAAGCGACCACCTTTGTACCGTACCTGCTCACTCTTTGACTTCCACTCTATTTTCCTTTTGTTCGAGCCACGTTGTCTTCCGGATCTTTTTTGCGGTTCCCCGTTGCTCTGAATCTCGTCGAGCGGAAAATGCAGTGCGATTGCAGAGGCTTGTTAGATTTGAGAAATGAATAATGTTCAGCCTGTCAAACGAGAAAGTTGTTCCTTTGAGATACTCCTTTTTGGTTAATTGCGAGACGATGATGTTGGAAAAGTGTGCCATTGACGCTACGTTGTGTCATCGCTTTGGTATAATCATTTGGTTACTACATTCTTTGTTCTGCGAATATTATTGCTAGTACAATAACACGTTCTGTTCACTGCGGGCTACACGTGATTTATCGTCTATCGTTGGACGTGGATCGTATATTTCACATCGAAATACCCATAAAATGTTCGACGGCCGAACTTCTGATTTTTGAGCGGCGGCATAAGTTTCCCATTCCGAATTTTCCACCGTCGAATGCTATCGGATTTGTTGTTATAGAACTCATTTTTCATTACAGATAACAATTCCATCGGAAAATGGGTCACTGTTTTGCCTATCTTGGGGCAAAACACAAATGGCTGCGTATTGGGCACGGTCCACGCGGGAATCATTTTTCAAGTTTCGATATTTTTCCAATCTGCACGAAGAATCGCTGTGTAGCGGCGCCGTTGCGGTTTAATTTTTCTGCCATTTTTTCCCGAGCGATTAAATATGGTTCGGCTTCCATTACCGATTTTGATCTTGCCCGCCGAATTATGTTTGTCATGTTGCTGTCGATTTGAAAATAAAAATCCGAAAATCCATTATAGATTACCACTATTGTATCTTCACCGCGACGCGCCTGTCACGGGGGAGATATCGCGTTTAATAAAAATAAACCGATACGCGCTTAATAGTATGTGTTTCACTTTGCGGAATTGTAATGTTTCTAACTTTTATCCGTAGATCCTATATTTACGGTTTAATATATTATTTCCCTAATAGAATCAGACCGTGGAGTGATCTATTGAGATGGAGACTCAAATACGATTAAATAATCCGTAGAGTTACCGTACGTATTGGGAAGGAGAATTACAAGGCGTGACGTCTGTTAATTGACTGAGCGCTTTATTAAGGTTCTGATGATCTTTTATACACCTTGAGAGAGGGGCCTACGTGACCCTTGATGCTTTGTTCGTGTCTTGTGTGGTCTGGCAGGATGTGGCTATCGTTAGATAAGCCTGTGTTATAGTTTCAGGTAGCCCGGCGGAATATGCTTATTGTTGTGTACGCGTTTTCTATTCGAAAATCTTATAGTGAAACCCGTACGTCGCACGCCGACTTAACTTTGTGCGAACTGTTTGGAAAGTGGACTGTATCTAATTACTTCAGTGAAAAATACTTTAGTGTTTATTTTTGGTTAGTTCAATAATAATCGTCAGCGGCGAGAGTATACAACGACGTCTATGTTCCGTCTCGTGTCTAGTTCAAAATTTTTCTTGTGTCTCTGTCTCTGTACCTTGCGTGGGTTTTTATAAACCTTTTTTGGTAGGGGTGTACAAAATTTGTCTGAGTGGGAGTCAACCGGTGATCCTGGAGGGGATTGCCGATTGCAGCCCCCGGGTGACCCACGCAAGGGTCTTGAACGTTCTTGACACTGACCATAGCGAGTAATAAAACCAAGGATCGCCTCGACTTCTGGCAAACAGATGTAAGTTAAAGTTAAATTATTGAAGTAATGGTTCCTTGGGCCTTTATTTCTGCTATGGTAAAAAATACTCAGGGCTCCAATGTGCCTCGCAGAAGGTGTCGTCAATAACCCTCCTAAAGAGATTTAGCGACGCGACACTTATCGGTAGGTGTTGTTTAGACTAGGCCTGCGTCACACGCCCGACGCAACACCTTTATCCGAAACAGAACTATAAATTCTCGAAATCCATAAACTGTTCAATATTAAATATAACTTTGAAATCTGTGGTCAAAAACTCCGAGCAACGAAAATAAGCCACTCCAATATACAGATTTAACCCTTTGCGGACGAAGATTATTTGAAATGTATAAAACCTTCAACAGATGAAGCTAAATTATATGTAAATTGCTTAAATAATAGCAAAAACAAAAGCTACATGCTAATCTGTTGCTGTCCGAGTAATTAAATCATTTACCTGCGACGTAGTCTTCCAAATCGCAGTTTCATCTCGCCAAAATGTCCATATTCGTCCGCAATGGGTTAATATCGAACGTTATCGTCGGATCAGTGATATCGAAATCTAAATCGCAGAATCTAATGAAAGACGTTAAAACAATTTCTCTCTGTTTGTTCCAGCGAACATGCCAAAAACACTCGAGAACCTGGGGGACTCGATCTCATCAGAGCTGGAGGGTAATCCGCCATTATGGGTCACTCGGAGGCAGAGCACGCGCGGCGAGGAAGTTTACATAAATAATGCGAAGATTCTCACGGAGCAAAGTAATTTCGAGTCGAAGGTTATTGTCGGCAGCGACGTGAAAACGCAGGTGAGCCGTAATCCGCGGGCTTGATCAAGCTCGCCGTGATTAACCTCGGAAGAGAAAAGAAGGAAAGCGAAAAATTAAAGAAGAGGTGGAAGAAAGTAAAACCGTGTCCCGCGGAATCTTTCACGGTCCGAGCGGATTCTTATGACCGCGACCGCGGTTAATTTAATCGCAAATTACTTTCTTTACGAGCGTAATCACCGGAGTAATTAGGTTAGTTTACGCTGCTGTTTTGCGTGAACACGGCTTCCGGCGTCCAGTATGATTTTCTCGAAACTGCGCCCAAGAACTTAGGTGCGCTGGACTTTCCAAGCTCGCGGTCACCTTCTAACGAGCTTTTAACGAGCTGCGCGGCTCGGTCCAGTCTTAGGCTCGCTCGCGTTGATTGTTATCGCTCGGCTTCGATAAGCTCGTCGAATATTCTTTACTTTCTTCAGGAAATCGGGATACAGGGGAGCGACGGTGGCACGAGATTAACCCCTTGCGTACTTTAACACTAAATTTAAGAATATTTACTCTATAGTTTGTCCTATCGTTCTTAGAAAAATTGATATTCGTTTATTTAGATTTTAGAAATTAGAGAGTTAAAGGTAGATAATTAGTATACATTTGTGTAACTGTAAAATTGACCCAAATGTTTACCAAATAATGTTTATAAAATTCAATATGAGTCAAATTGAATCGTTCCGTAAATCTAGTGTTAATGAGTTTGACTCGTGGTACAAATTTTAGGCCAAATATAAATATCACGAGTTTGACTCGAGGTGACAGCACGAATGAGATATCGGTCGCCATAATTATGGTCCGGATTTTACCCCGTTAAATGGCATAACAAGGGTTTATTCATCACTTAACACTAAAACTACCGAGCAGTTAGAGTGACTTATTCCTCATTTTTTATCAAAATTAAAACAATACTTAATTACTTGCGAAATAAGAATTGTAAAGCAGGTCAATTCGACCCGTCCGGAAGTTTTAATGTTAATTTATGTTATATTAATTTATTCTGACTATTTGAAACTTTTATTTTTCGAAGTTTAATCATTCTTTCTGTTACGCGTAAAAAGTGGTCAGTGAGTTCCCCTAATAAACAAAGTTGAATTAAGAGAAAATGTTTTCGAGTCTCAGAAATTTCTTCTAAAGAGTCAACTAATTTATGAACATATATGTCCATAATTATGAGAGTAGTCTAAGTCGAAATTAAAGAAAACATCAGTTTATTAATGATTTCACGGCATATTATTTTATACTAAATTAAAACGAACAAAAAATGTATGACTTAGATCACTTTCATAATTATGAGCACACATACAAGTCCCATAAAATGTCCAGGTCGCGAAATGAATGGCGACAAAAACATTGTCGGTATCCCCAGTTTCAATTTACCGAACGAATACTTTAATCTGTGGTCCAAGTATCATTATCCGATGAAAATCGCCGGAGTGCGACTAATCTCCTCCACGAATCTGTTCGTTGATCAATCCTGTCCCTCCTCTCTCCTGCCCCGTCCTCTCTGCCTTATTCACCTTTCGACGGTATTAGTGAAACTTTTCTCATCCACTTAACGCGGAAGTTCTACCGCGGCCGATACTTGTTACCAGTTAGCGGAGCACCAAGGTATCGGATCATAATTAATGTAGACAAAAGTCGGCTAATCGAATAACTTTTTACAATCCGATTCATCCGAACTTCCATCTGGCCTGTACTCCCGATAACAGCCGTGAAGTTTCTTTCGCGGTCTTTCCGGTTCGTCGGGGACGCAATACCTATTTCAAGCTACCCCTATTCGCTTAGAAATTCAGATAAATCGGATTGCAGCAGGTGTCTCGGGAAAGGAATTTCTTTGGGTGGAACGACGGTGCATAGGATAACGTAAAGTGAAATGTGCGAGTATCGATATCATGTAACCATTCTTAACAGAAATTAATGTTATTAACACGTTCGCTACCAGCGCCACATATTTTTAACCGCCGTATTCCTATATTTTACATAATGAAAATGAAATTAATCCTATGAATATTGTTATTAGAAATTATAAACTACTACATTATATTTAGGAACTCAATGACTCGTTTCAATTTCATTTTTCTAATATTTGTTTAGTAGATTTATTGGATTGAAGAAAATATAATTGAGGAGACCGTCTTCCGAAATATCTGGTAGCGAACGTGTTAACGCGTTCTCCATTTAATCGACACTCACCGACTTACTCGTACAATCAGATCAATTTTCCTAAGCAACCGAAAATCGAACAGTCTACATTTTTCAGAGATCGCGCTCTATACCTTCCACTTCATAGATCCAACAAAAATTCGTTTCATGTCACCGAGAAAATGAATATTTCCATACAAATACCTGTATCAGCCATATATGAACCACATGGCAGTCAACGTGTTATTAACCATTCCTTATTCAATAACATCCACAATCCTTACCTTATTACTCCGTGATATTCAAGAGAGCATTCTCCAGCCGCAGGAGGTCTCTTGCTACCTGTTATAATTTTGATTAGTCACGTGTAGCCACATTGACGAGTAGCAAATCAGTATTCCAACCAAGACGAGAAAAGACAAAAGTTAAATAATTAGACCTCGTGAACAACATGAAGTACAAAGTTCCTGTCTCATCCTCTATCATTGTCAGTTTAAGGAAACCTCCTTCAACCAGTGAACGCTGATGATCGTTGTTAAAAGTCAGACATCAGGTTGTGTCCCCGAGGAATACCGCAACCGCGGAATCCAGATGGCTCGCCTCGAGGAGTCGAACCTCGGAACAAAGGGAACGGGGTCGTTGACTAAACGCAGCCGATCGAATTTTCTCACGCAGCTTCGTTCCGCTCGCGCGAAACTATTCGCCGAAGTATTCGGCCGCAGCGCCGGCTGATTTTCAATTTGCTCCTCTCGCTGGACGGGCTGTTTTCAAACTCCCACGCTCTTTCAATCCGTTCTTCTTTTTCGCCTCTCTGGCCGCCTGCGCGGTCGGTTCTGCTTCGTTCTCCATCCTCTATCCCCCGGCCGCTATTATTCCCCTCCATTAACCGTAACTCTTTAGGCGATCTCTCTCTCGCTGGCGGGGTCGGAGGCGGGCGCAGTTATTCGGACTGGAATTTCTTTAAATTGTTAAGAAACAGGATAGGAGGGTTGGGGCGGCCAGGGGAAAACTGACTGGCTCGCCGCGACTGCCTCGGGCAACGCGTGAAGGAGGAAACGTGTTCCAGCGGCATCTAATGAGATCAAAACCCCGCGAGCTCTACAGATTAAAAACGGCGCTGCTGCCTGCGCGACCTCTCGCGGCTCTTCCGTTCTCTATCGCTCGATATTCGTTACACAACGCGTACAGTACGATGATGCCGGTAGCTATACATCGAGTAGACCTATTTTGCGTCTTCGTGTAGTTCCTTGGAAGTTGGAGAACCGTCAGCTTGAAATATGATCCTTGCATTTTGTATAATTTATCGAATCCGATAATTGAGTCGCTTGGAAGCCAATGCAATTAAGCCGATATTTGATATTTTGATATTTTGATATTTTGATATTTTGATATTTTGATATTTTGATATTTTGATATTTTGAATGGAAGAAATAACATTCTTTTTAGTTATACAAGGATTGACTCGTTTCTTCGTCTTTTCTATGTCAGACAGCCTTTCTCTGCATGGTTTCTGAAAATATCTAAGCTAAAAATAGCTTTTAAACATTTATTTTCTCAATTTTTGTTATCTGTACTTAACCGCATCGGCTTCTGAGCAACTCAATTATCCTTGTTATTGAACGAACGTTTCCCAAATATGGCGCAACTAGTGAAACCTTCAAATTTAATGATATTAGATTTTCTTATTAAACTATATGAAATAAAAAGTACTGACTTGGGAACCTTATAGTCTCCAGACAAATATTTATCAATCTTTATTAACCATTTTATTAATCATTCCCCCTATTATTATTTCTCTTAACCACTCTACATACAACAAAAGAAGCTACAAAACCGATTACGATTTATTCACCGCGAAATAATCGAACGCTTGAAGTCAAAGAAACCGCCCCTAAATTCATCCCCCGATTCTCATTTACTCGAACGCATTCAATATCCCCGTTGTCGTCGCATCGCTATATTGCGACAGAGAAGCGAACGAAACTGAAATTAATTTTTAGCTCCTCATGGATTTCTGGGTTCATGAATAATCTCGTTCCCCGCACTATGGTGTTTTCCCCTATCGTCTCGCATCCAGCCGTTCATCGCGGGACTGTATACGCAGCGTCGTTCTCCCCGCTGAGTAACGAAGTCAGCCAGGAATTTCCTCGGAGTATTTTTTCGCGGGATCGCCGGCCGTGTGATGTAGTTCCCAGCGAGGATCGTAAACGTTAACGGGTGCCGGGACTTTGTCAGTTATTACAGCGCGCTTCCGAGTTGATCCCGCGTTCCTCCGAGGATATACTTTCGCGCGAACATGAAAGCGGAATATCAGGGCGGTTTAAATAAGCCGAAAAATATTTTTATACGATTTCACGGTGTCTCCTCGCGCCTCTCTTTCTCTGTGTATGTATATCTGTGTGAGTGTACGTGTGCCTTCCTCGGTGTATTCATTCTAACCCTTCCTCCGTTGCTGCAGTCAATGTTCGTGCGATCTAATTTCATCTCAGCGAACGGCGAAAATAGTTGCTCGAGAGTGTAACGTTGATACTGAAGCTATTAAGATTCCTGGAAGAGGATATTAGTCGGTAATAATAGTAATTGGTAATAAACGCGTACCTCCGTGTTACTTCTGACGTATATTGTGACACCAATAATGGAATTTAATTAAGTTATTCTGCGAGGAGATGTTTGCTTTGGGATAGACGAATAAAGATCGTTTTATATTGTAGATAAATGTTTTATGTTGTGATGATTGTATAATATAATAGGATTTTGTATTATAATGGTGTTGAGAATTAAATTTATGATGCTCATCGTGCAGTTCTATTGGTATTTTTAGTTTCGGGGTGTAAAGATTTGATTGATGTTCT